ACGCGAAATTTTATATGCTAAATAGTTTAGGGACCCATCCTTACCTATAAGGCCTATGATTTATGAAATTATTATATCACGATACATAGATCAGGCAGCCCAGACAGTCTAGACAGCCCAGGCAGTCTAGATAGCTTAGAATAGAAAACACTATATAAGTAGCTGCTATCCATGTAATTTTTAGTCAGTTTTTGATAACTCACTCCTGTAACTGTCGGAATTTCTGACTTGGTATCTTAATAAAGTATTATTATTTTATTAAATACATTTTGGTTACAAAGATTCATTGGAGAATCTTTGCTGTACCTTGGAATATTTGTGAGAGATTATCTCTGAAATGACAGATTGTTCTATATAATCTCTAATTCCTTCTAAAAACTACTACTCGAATACAGATCAAACAGATTTTGATCACAATATGAAACTCATCTCAAAAATAAAAATTGGAAATTGCAAAATATTAGTGACAATATCAACTTGGCTGATCTTGGGGCCATTAATGGATTGGCTAATAATAATGCATTGCGCAATATTAATGTTAACCAGTTTAGAGGCAGAGCTTTTCAAATAAGAAATACAATTTCAGCTGACAATAATCCAATTGTTACACCATTAGTATTAGCTTATGTCATTTTTGATGAAGATTAATTAATATCTGACAGTCGATCAACAGAATTAGTACCTAATGCACCTAATGCTAATGCAGAAGGAAATATTATAGCTTCAGGAATTTGCATTGGACAGATAATACAGTATACTGGTTTAGAACTAATTATCCAACAATAATTGCTGAAAAATCAAAAGTGATATTTTATAACATTACTTAAGGTACTGATCCTATAGGTTGTTTTTATGCAAAATTGAAAAGAATGGTTGGTCTTGCCTATCCAGCACTTCCAGCATTGAATTGAGAAAAAATGGTTAAACAACAATTCTTTCAGGATCTTTTTCCTAATAACAAAATAGAAATAAGATGTATTGATCTTGAATATCCAATTTCTGTTTTACTACCAAAATTAGAAGAAATTAAAAAACAGAAGGCTAAAATGATATTAGGTTAGTATAATCCTATTATTTCTCGATTACAATCTAAAGCTAATACAAAAGACAGTTATTTGAGCAACACAGGTGTGAGTAGAAATGAAACAGAAAACTATGTAAATTCTTGTATAACTTCTACACAATCAGTTTTTCAACTACAGGATAAAAAATTAATATGGCTCAGTCAAATGGAGCCAGGTGAAATTTATAGAGATCCATATTTGCACTTGAATGATCAAAAATAAATTTGAATGGACAAGGCAACAGATCATCTTAGTGCTTTAGCAGATCCATTTACTTTACAATTATTAATAGATACAATTACTAAAGGAGTAGTTGATAAATTTTCTTCCTTCTTGCCTAAGAAAATGAGAAGAAATGTATCAAAAAATGCTGAAGTTAACTCAAATAAAGATCTAGCCAATCATATGAGTAAGTTGTCAATAAATAAGGCTATATCTAAACTGGTCAAGAAAGAAATTAAAAGATTGTCCCAACACAAATGCTCAAACTGTGATAGAACTAATCATAATTCTTGCAAGTGTACTTGTAAGAAAAACAAATCCAAGAAAAAAGGTAAGATTAATATAGCTACTGTAGATTTAGATTTCAAGTCTAATACTAGCTCTTCTAATAATAAATCCAATTCTGACTCTGTGTCTAGTTCTGGTTCTGAATCAGAATCTGATTTTAAAAATGACTTTATTGAGAATGACATTGTGAAAATTATAAATACTGTTAAATCAAAAAAAAAGTAAAGCCAAAGAGTAAATTGTTCTCTAAGAAAATGTTCAAATCTTACAAGACTAAACAGAAAGGTATTTCCACTTCTAGCAAGTTCCAAAATAAATTGACTACTCTTGAGCAAAATATTTGTCAAATTTTATTAAACATACTTGAAAAGGTCTTACTTCCACATCAGTTAGAGAAACTTAAATCTGAAGACAAATACTTAGGTGCTTCATAAACTACTCTGGATTTTATAAATCACTGAGAACCAATTCCAGAAATACTTAATTCAGATGAAGAAGAGAAAATGCTAAATGATCCTATGGAGATAGATTTTGTCCATCAGAAAGAACTTGACATAAGTATTGCAACTATACATGTTGCTGAAATTTGTAGATCCTTGACGCAATTGATGCAATTATTTGACGCAATTAATTGAGTCATTATTAAAACATAT